TCTTTCGCAGTCACGTGATGCGATTTCGCAGGTCAGAGTTCACCAAGCTTAAACTTTGCACCACAGCGGCCTGTGAAACTTGTTGCATGACCTTGCGTTGTCAGTCTGACGCATTTGTGTGAATGAATGGAAGTCTATTGGGAGAAAAGTCAAGTGTGATCGTAGCTTTACTCCAACAACAAATTACAACCTGGTCCACACACATTGTCTGTTTTATTAACTTTTTCAAAGACTGGCCTTGATAAAAAAAAAAAAACCAAGATGGATGTTTGCTAGCTACCATTTTAATTCTAAAGAAACTAAGTAATACTCTGAGTCTTCTCATTTTTGACCATTTTAACTTATCTTGAGTGTCTTTGCAAACTGCCTTTAATGTCAACTGATATCACATTGTGAGACATGGCCTAACAGCGGCAACATGTTTTAACAGTCTGACAAGCAACAGTTTAAAGGACAATTATAAATTGTACAGCATTTGTCTGGATAAAGATGTACAATACAATTAAGTAGTCTAAATAAAACAGAATAATTATGAAACAGAAATTGTATTCAGATAATAAAATAAAGGTTGGATTTAGAAATGCATATGACATTTATTAACATGCAGTTCTTAATTCAGCCCAATATGTGCATTTATTCACTTATGATATAGGAGGGAAAATTGAGAACCAATAAGGATCAGGCAGAGCATAAGCTCCCACTAGTGTAAGTCTGGAGAATCATGACTCCTAATGAAGAGGGCGGGATCATCGTTAAGCTACTTGACCTCTGTAGAGTACAAAAAGGCCAAAGGGCAACATCTCAGCAGTGCATCTAGCTGGTGAACAATGGCAACTAGCTGGTCTTTGCTTCAGTTTCTGGGACTTTGTGCCTGGTTTGGTGCTTTTTGTTCTGCTTCTCCACATTGGAAACATGGACGTCATCCCCATCGCCCTCATCATCCTCATGGTTTGACGGTGCAGCAAAGTGATTATCTTATTAAGGAGATCGTTCAGCCACAGGTCAGCCAACCACTTCCTGTGCGGGTTGAAGAGGTAGTGGTGAAAGCAGGGCCTGTTGACAAGTGTAGTGTAGCTGATTTGGGCCAGATTCAGTGTGGACCTCCTGGTATCAGTGGACCTGACTGTGAAGCCATCAACTGCTGCTTTAATGGACAACAGTGCTACTATGGAAATGCAGGTAAGAGCTGCTGTGGGTAAAGGAGCTCTGTTTAGCTGATGCTTGTGTTAATCTGCTTGTACCTTGTTTCAGTCACTGTCCAGTGTATAAGAGATGGTCAGTTTGTGGTAGTGGTGGCTAGAGATGTTACAGTGCCTCGGCTGAGTCTGGATACGGTCAGTCTTCTGGGTGGGAATGATCCCCCTTGCAGTCCTGTGGCGTCCAACCCTTACTTTGCTGTATACCAGTTTCCTGTCAGTGCTTGTGGAACCAACGTGATCGTGAGTATTGAGCTGCTTCTGAATGCACTTCTACATGGACTGGATGTGAACGGTCTTCCTGTTTGCAGGAGGAACGTGGACATGTGGTGTATGAAAACAGAATGGTGTCCTCCTATGAAGTGGCCATGGGACCGCTCGGCTCCATCACAAGAGACAGCCAGTTTGAGTAGGTGATCTCTGCTCTTCTACTGCATGTGTGTGTCTAATAAATGCTACAGGCTCCCTATCTGTTGTCCAGGGTTCTGTTCCAGTGCCGGTACTCTAATACAGCTGTGGAAGCTCTGGTTGTGGAGGTCAATGCTATTCGTGCACCTCCACCAGTCGCTGCTCTTGGACCCCTCAGAGTGGAGCTTAGACTGGCTAATGGCCAATGTGTCACCAAAGGCTGTGCTGAAGGTAAACACTGGACCAGAGTCTGCCTGAAGTCTTCCTATTAGTTTCTGGATGAACATGTTGTGTTCCACAGGGGACGAGGCGTACACATCCTACTATAATGAAGCTGACTACCCAGTCACCAAAGTCCTCCGGGAGCCTGTGTATGTTGATGTGCACATTCTGGAGAGGACTGACCCCAACATTGTCCTGATGCTGGGTAACTGCTGGGCAACATCAACCCCCAATCCACTCAGTGTGCCCCGGTGGGATCTGCTGGTTAATGGGTGAGTGCAGTCCTAAGCAGAAGCCCAGGTAGTGATGCTAGTCCTGACTCCTATGGTGCTTTCTAGATGCCCCAACCAGGACGACCGCTACCTGACCACACTGGTTCCAGTGACCGCATCATCTGGTGTTCATTTCCCCAACCACCACAAGCGCTTCATTGTCAAGATGTTCACCTTTGTAGACCCACAGTCTCTGTCTCCTGTGCAGCAAACGGTATTTTAAAAACCCAATATTTTGTCTCTGTTCTTTACTCCGTCTCTTTTCTTAATGCCCTTCTGTTTCTGTCCTCAGGTCTTTATCCACTGCAGTACAGCGGTTTGTCATGCATCTTCTGGCTCCTGTCAGCAGTCCTGTGCCAGGAAAAGTGAGTGCTCTGTCTCTGTAGCTCTTTGCATTAGTAGGTTCTTTTGACTTAACTCGTCTGCGTTCTCAACCTTTTTTTTAGGAAGGGATGTTGATGTGAAGACTGTGTCTGAGCAGACTCTGGTTTCTAGCCTGGAAGTGATACTGACTCCTTGAAGGAATGACTTTTTTTAAATAAACTGTATGAACCTTTAAGTGCTGTCTGACTGTTTTTGCATGTTGTAAAAGCTCATTTCTACTAGCATTGGATTTGGAAGGTAGTTCTTAGTAGGGCCAGACTGAATCTGTGGAATAATTTTAGCAGTCTCATTACTAAACTTTAATACACAAGATAAAAAAAAAAAAAAAAAAAAAGTTTTAATAAAATTAAATCCAATTTATTATGCAGCAAGTCCAGAGATTAGCATTTACACTGACTTTGTATAAAATTAACTTTTTTTTTTTTTTTTAATTTATATGCAACTTGCTCAAATGAGTGGTTTGGACCCAGAAACTTTTACATGTCACCACCTAACAAGTGGATTAGGCTTGTACCACAACAATATTAGTGAAATGAATTAGACTACCAAGTTTACATGTAAATACAGACCTGACAGCCATACATCACTACAGATGCCAGCACTTTGATCTCTAAACTGACCTAAAATGCATGTTGCAAAGAATTTTGTTTTAGACCATCTCCAATAACACAAACTTGAGCATGTCCCAGGGATCTGCAGCAATTTAATTTATTTATTTTTTTTTTTTGTTCCCCATGCAGGATAATCCATATTAATTTTAAAAACCCTTGTGATTTTGGTGTACATTTGGAAAGCAATTCATAACGTATAATTGCTTAAGTGGTTATTTCTTGTTTCTTCATGGTCTTGAATTTAGAATTTTTATTTCTTAAATCGCAGAGAAACAACCATTAATTTAAATAACCATCTGGATGAGTAGGTGTAATCACTTAAAGTCTGACTTAACATTTTAAAGATTGTGTGTGTATATGTGTGTATATATATATGTATATAATACTCAGAGCCATACTTGCCCTTAATAGCCACTGTAAGGCACCAAACTTAATTGGGCAATGAGTGTGTGTGTGCGTGTGCACTTGGATGGGTTAGACATGCTTGCTTCACCTAAACCAGAGATTCTCAATTGATGGACTGCAGGTGGTTCTTGAGAGCTTAAATCAACTCCAAATATAATACTGTAGTTTTTGTATTTTATTAATAAAATGATATCAGTAATGCGCTCGTATTCTGATTGATTACTTAACTCAGTAACAAAAACAGCCTCATGATCACATCTGCAACTAACCGCAAGTGTTCATTCACAAACTAATGCATGAAGTGGAAGTCTGTGTATTTTTCAGTGAATTATTTAATATATCCGCATAGTTGTACAAATGTCCTGTGAGTTTTATAATGAATGTGAGACCATACAGAAGAATCTAGCGAGTTTCCCCATATAGAACTTTCATATGAGCTTCAGATGTGCTCTAGCTGAGCTGTTTACCGTCCTGTCAGCAGTCTCACAACAATATCCATCTGAAAACTCAAACCGCCATCAGATCCACGCATTTATTACATTTAGGATATTTACTGTATTTTACATTTGTCTTGCTATTTTTGAATAGCAGATATTTAATAGCAGTCAGTCCAGTTTAACGCAGAACTACATGTGTATTCATTCATTCATTTATTTTCTTGTCCGCTTAGTCCCTTTATTAATCCAGGGTCGCCACACCGGAATGAACCGCCAACTTATTCAGCAAATTTTTTTTACTCAGCGGATGCCCTTCCAGCCGCAACCCATCTCTGGGAAACATCCACACACACACACTCATACACTACGGACAATTTAGCCTACCCAATTCACCTGTACTGCATGCCTTTGGACTGTGGGGGAAACCAGAGCACCTGGAGGAAACCCACGCGAAGGCAGGGAGAACATGCAAACTCCACACAGAAACGCCAACTGAGCCGAGGTTCGAAGCAGAGACCTTCTTGCTGTGAGGCGACAGCACTACCTACTGCACCACTGCCTCGCCCTTACGTGTGTGTGTGTGTGTGTGTGTGTGTGTATATATATGTATGTACACAGCAAATTTCTGGAGTTGAAAAATTAGGAGTTAGGCAAAAAAGTGTGAGAGTTAATTTTTTTGAGTTTATTTTTAAACTTTAACACAATTTTGTGTTATGGGATACCCCTTGCTGTGTTTTATTTTGGAGTTCATTCTCTGGTGTTCAGAAACGTGCTTTAACTCCTTACTGGAGTTAAATTTTTAGAAAGTCCGCCATTACACAACTCTGCCGAGCAGTACATGAGAACTGGAGTTATGTTGTTCGTTGTGAGGTAGGTAAAAGTGCATTGTTATACAATTCTAAAAGCTTTTTTTAAATGTTGGATGTTTTGTAGCAGAAGTGTGTTTTGCTGTAGCTGTTTCATTTTGTACTGTTAGGCTAGTGACTGCATGTGGCTAACTTAGCATGTTAGCTTTTCCAATGTGGCTGTTTTGTGCAGTTTTTTAAAAATTTTTGTGGATGTGAA